TGAATCCATATATATTAGAATGATTAGAAATTTCTATATATAGAGAGAAATATTCGGAAAATAATCATAATAATTAATCCAAATTCATTTTATGCTATATTTCAGAATTTATGATCTAATTCGAAATCATATTTTAAGATAAATTTCGATCTAATCTAAATCTCTATGAATATTTTCTTTTCTTATATTCGCAAAAAAAATCGGATTCCCAATATCTATATCTCCCAATATCTTTTTCCGTTCTTATCGATTTCTAGCGAGATCTAGATCGATTATTCTCAAAATATTTATCTTTTTGCGATGATTTTTTATTCGATTTTTGATATCTTGAAGATTCGCCGGAATCGAATTTTCCTAGAGAATATAAGAAAATCGTCAGATCTATATGAATCAATATATTATATTCGATTTTTCTGGGATGAAAATCTCATGAATATCCGAGATATCTGATTTTCCTATCTAGCTATCTCTATATTTCTATTTATTCTCTATTTCTGAGAAATATCTATGAATCTATTTATCTATATTTCTATATTCTTTATTTATCTATCTATCTATCTATTTTCTATAATTTCTGCATATATTTATCTATCTATTTCTCTATATATCTCAATCTATTTCTATTTAATTGATTATCTATCTATTTATAGATTCAAGAATATATTCTTATGAATCAATATATTATGATGATTTATTATATTTCTATAGAGAAAAAATCATTGATTCGATAATTGAATAATTCAATAATTGAATGATTCAATGATTCAATATTCTATTCTTATATATTTCGAACTAATCTATATTATGAGATATACGATATCTTATGAATAAATATATCATATTATATCTATCCGAAAGATGAAAATATCTTATCTATATGAATATATAAATATAGATCTATAAAGAAAAATATGAAATATATATATTCATATCTTTTCATTTTTATTTACGAACGAATCTCTATCTATCCCTCTCATTCTATCATTTCATATCTTTCTATATCTTTATCTATCTTCTAATTCTTTATATACCATTTTTTCTAGATCTCTTCTCATTAATATTTCTCTTGAATTCTCGCTCTCTATTTGAAATTTTTCCTATTTTTCTCATATATTAATCTGATTCTATCTAAATATTTCTTATGATTTAGCTAATCTTATTATTGATCTTATTCGATCGTATTTCTTCGAGTAAATGACGCGATCAGATCTTTCGCATAAGAACTAATTTTTCCGATTCTGCATTAAAATATTTCCTATAGACATTTTAGGGATAATGAAACTACCGAAATTTTAGAATCTCGAAATTAAAAAATATATGATATTGAGATTTTAGATCATCTTCCCGCCCGAATGATTTGCATCCCGCCCGAATGAATTATATATATAGAAGAATATCATATCTATCAAATTATTCCTCCAAGAAATAGGTGCCCATCTCGAAATATTCTTGAAAAGACGGATTTATAGATTGGAATCTAAAGATTTGGAGAGATGGCCCAGAATCTGACGATATTTTTTTCATCAATCTATTGCGGTCTATTTCTATTTCCCATTTTAGTCATATCTATGGACATAAATCTCTATGAATTCATGAAATTCTATCTTCAATTCAAAGCCCGAATCATGACGTGGCTCGTGAACAGAACTGGAGATTCTATTCCCCTATATTCCCTTGATATTTCATGAAAAAAACGTATAATAGCTGCTTATCTTGCGAGAGAATATCATGAGATCATTCTATAAGAATCTAATATAGCAAATGATATTCTTGCTACCCGCGAATTTGTGATTTAACGCTAATCAAAAACGATTAATCTATAGATTCTGAAAGATTTTAACTCTCCATCTCGGATCTATAGATTCCGCCGAAGCGCTGCGCAAATAACCAAAGAGAAAGATATGATTCGATTTTTGCTCTTGCGGTCCAAGATCTCCGTCCCGATCTTTCTGATTCATTTATCTCTGTTAGATTAATTATTGCACGGCGGATCGGCGGACTATACAAATACCCGTAGATAGAAATGGGGAGAGATGAATCACGCAGAATTTCGGTCCGGAAGGCAAGGGCGGCAGATAATCAAAGAGAAAGAAATGAATCGAAATCTCGGAGATTTTTATTGCTGCGGTCCAAAATCTCCGCTTCATTTATCTTTTTTAGCCTGATTAATACGCGGCGGATCAGGAGAGCGCATGATAAATGCGGCTAATTATCTCGGGTCTGTCCTTTCTTGCGAACAATCACGTATCCAGCCAAAAAGAGAGATAAATCACGCGTCGCATTGGCCGAACCAAAAATCTCAGAGATTTTGAAGCCTTCAACTTTTCTGAAGGAATCTAAATTCTCGGAGTTTTAGAGCCTCTAGAGAATTTTAGAATTGAGCCGGAAAGGCTAGGCCGCGCGCGCTCGAAATAAACTCAATATAATATTAAGATATTTTTCAAAAATTTTCTATTGATATTTATTTATTAATCTAGAAATTCTCATATATTTAAGGATTTTCCAGAATCAATTCATTCATTTATGGATTAAATATAATCTATCGATAGATTAAACGAATATCAAAAAATCATCAGAAAAGATCAATATTTTTTCTCAATACCTTTCTAATCAATTTATCAAATATTAATATATTTTCGTATATCAATCCAATCGCTCAATTATAAATGAAATAATCCTTCAAATTCTCCAATGAAAATATTTTTAAATCAATATTCAAATAAATATGAAGATATCAATATTTTCCTTTTTTAAATATCAAAATTATAAATCATTATGAATATCTATTTATATTGTAAATAGATAATCTATTAAGATATCTAAATCAAATATCAATTTTCTTTTCTTCGAATCATTATTCTAGAAATATTTTATATAAATATGTAAATCAACGAAAATGATTTCAGCATATAGAAATTTATATATTTCCAGTAATATCCCGAAAGCGAATAGCAATATCTATCAAACCTCAAATCTATATGAAAATAAGCATTTATTATAATCGTGTATTTTACGTTCCCCAATACACAATCTCAATATCAGCGCGGTTTCATTCTCTCCTTTATCTATCTTATCTTAGAAAACGTTATTCCTAAGTTTCTGGAATATAAAGATATATTTCATTCAAGAAATCTCTGATTCTTATGTTATCCAATAATATTTCATGATAATATGATCTCTTAGCGGAAGTCCTAGTCATCGCGAGCTTTCGCAGAAGCATATTTCAAGTAAAATCAAGCCCTGAGTTCTCAGGAAGACCTCTTGACCCCCATACCCTCAACTCCATGGATTGCAATGCTTGGGGTTTGCTGGGCTTACGCGGCCTTTCGCGGATTTTCGGGTAAGAATTCTGCGACTGATCCTGTGCCTCAGAAAGACCTGCAACCCTTTCTTTCCCCTTTGAGGATGCCTGGAAGCGTGCCTGCAGACTGCAAGAATAGAAGCAATTATATTTGAAAGTAAATACGGAACTGTAGCTTACGATACTTCTTTCGCGAAGTCCAAAGTTCCTTTCGCGCGCACCATCGCGACATTTCGCGGAAGGCCTTGTAAGCCAGCCGTGGTCGTTTTATGCAAAATTCCATTTTAGGGGTTTTTGGACGATGCCCAAGAAGCAATCTTATTCGGATGAAATTCATAGGTCAAATCTATGAGCAGTGCCCATTTTCAGCGCTCATGATGACGCCATTCGTATCAGAGGAATAAATGAGACTCCTACTATTGCGCTTAGTAGATCTGATTCAGGAGCTCCTTCAGCCGACGGATGGAGCCTTCTGTCCTGATAGGGGCCGTGCTAGGGCAAATCCAATCTCATATATAGGTGCAACATGATGCCGGGGTCAACCAACACCCCGCTCGCTGTTATCATGATGAATCCAGAGATAGAGTCACGAGCTGCGTGTCCACAAGTCTGGGACATGATCTAGTCTATGTGACTTTTTCTCGATGAGCCTTCCTATTTTCTCGCCCTCCCTATGCAGAACACTCCGCGTGCATGATTGCTTCCTCCAGTCAAACCATGAGCCCTGAAAAGCGAGACAAACTGCTTCTTGCTGTCAACGCCAACCCACAGAGACGGACGTTGCGACTGTTGCAGTGCAGCTGTAGGCAAAGAAGCAATGGCCTTGTCGTCTGAGCTGCCTTGTCAGGGCGAGCCACAGCAAGGCTTCATGTCTGGTGCGACTATGGGCTGATCTGTCACTAGGAGTCCATGAGCACTACATCATAAGCTGAGGAAGTATTTTTCTCTGTCTACTCCACAGCGTCCACATTTCGGAAGAATCTGGGTCCAGCTTCTTGAGAATTATGATCTTCCCGCGTCATGCGTTGAAAGCCTGATCCGCAACTGCCAGATTGCCGGCACCATGGCCCGCCCTGCAACAGGGCAGAGTAAGTGAGCGGCTCTTGAAAGTGTTAAATTAGAGGTTGCTCCAGGAGCTCAAAAAAAAGATAGACTTTCAATCTGTGTAGCACCAATGGGCTGTTCTAACATACAATACGTAATTTACCAGTTGAACCCATACTGTTACGGCGGGGAGCCAGCCTTACCAGACGCAAGGACTTGGTCATCACAGACAAGGCTTCGTGGAGCTCCTGGCGCAGAGACGGAGAAGATCTTCTTGAATACGCAGCAGTTACACGTATCCTTCTGCTTACATGCGCATGTATGGCAATCAATTTGTGTAAGCTACCGCCGCGGCTTAGCTGGCTGTCCAAAGCTCACAAATACTCATCACATTTGCTGCTGGCACTGGTTGCATCAAGAAGCAGATCTGAGCACCGGGAAGCCGTCGTTGCGGTGCCTGGACCATGGACTAACAACACGCCAGGACATCAAGCAAAGCTTTCATCGCTTAGCATGCCGCAGGTGTTCCAGGCCCAAAGTGATACTGTCAGGTCCTCCAGGACTTACACGCCAAGCTGCCTTTCCACAATGTCATGACGAAACGAGGCCACCTTGCAGGGTGCATTCGGCAATGTCAACAACAGAAACGGGTCACGGTCTTCGTGTAGCCGGTCTCAATTGCAACAAACGTGCCTTGCAGACCAGCGCAGCCTGCAGCATTGCTCCCTGAAATGCGGGCCTGAGTGCAGCTATTCGCTTGCAGTGAAGCCAGCGCTTGAAGAGACCAATATGATGTCAACGTAAAGTGGTGACACGGTCGAGGTCGGACAAACAGAGTCGGTGCGTCGTCGCTGGTGTTGCAGCCACGACACTGCATCGGTGGCTTTGGCCGTGGCTGTGTGGAGATCTCTGAGAGGATCCTGCCCCCGTAGGTATCGTCCTTTCAGGTGTTTGTGCGCAACGGACATGATTTCCAAACTGCGGATGGAGCCTGCCACAGGAGCTGATTCAGCTCCCCCAGCAAGACAACACCTACAGGGCTTCAATCTTGAAGTTGTTGGATGGTGCTTGACTGCTCTTTGCTCAGTTGTAAGGTGGCCGTGTCAGTCCCTCACCTGGCCAGGTCTTTGTTGGGGGCAACTCGGCGCTGAAGCTGCGGAGTGCGACGTCGTCCGTAAGAAGTATGACGCGGCCTCAGGGACAAGGGGGCCTTGTTCAACCGCCTGGATCAACGTCCAGAAGATTTGCAAAGAGCATGATCCTTTGCCCTCCAGCAGCATAGATCTGAACATGTAGGATTGCTGAGCCCACAGAATCTACCTGCCTTTGCCGGTCATGACCTTGCGGCCCTCTCACTGACTTAATCTAGTCAGGATTGCTCAGGCACTGGTCACTCTCCCGCTGTTCTTCGTCTGCTTTACGAATGATGCCAGGCTGCCCCGCCCCTAATCTTACCGGGCTTTGCAACTGCTTCCAGAGCTTATCATCTGTCTTTGCAAGTCCGGACCAGGCCTGGTGCTTCTGCCCTTAGTGCGAGACAGCGTCCAGATATAAGACATATCTCATGATGCACTTCGCGGACTGCTACATCACCTATGTCTGTGCAATTGACTCTTGAAAGGCCGGACAGTAGACACTTGATGGCTGCAAAATGCCTGGCTTTTGCCTCGTGCTTGCAATTGCTTCCAAGGCTCTGCTGCTGCCTCAGCGTGGCACATTCGCACGCAGAAGCCCTCTTTAAATGGACATGGCGATCTCTGTACTTTGAGGCTTCAACCAGATGCAGGCAAAGTCCAGAACCTGCATTCCAGGCGAAACGCCGCACTCTGTGCAGATTTTAGGCTAATCTGAGACCATGGGAGAAAACCTTTAACGACACGAATCAAGTCACTCTGAGGCTTGCAAGTTGGAATGGCTGCAGGTAAGTTCTGCTTCGCGTATTGTCACGTGGATCTAAGTCAACATGGGCCTGATAAATTTGCCGCATCGCATTCAAGTGTTCAAAGAGCCGGCCTTCAACGATGAATCAGAAACCTGCATCTCGGCAGCTTTTGCCTGAGTGCAATAATCATGCAATATGCAGCTGCTTCTGCAGAAGCAAGACCAGCCATTCATTTTTTGCGCGGCGCCTCCATCTGCTTGTCAATGTGCATGCGGGACGCGTGCATCTGAGAATCAATGACCTGCACAGCTTCCCTAAACCCTGAACCCTCTACCGCGGAGGCATCTGACCCAACAAATTCGCAGCTCCAGGCCTCCACCAGGCCCCAGTCCTTGCACTGGCGAATCACCGAGCTTGGGTCCTGACAAACTGTCAGTTTAGGGCTTAGGGTTTAAGGGTTTAGGGGCCGTACAAACTCATCCATCTTGCATGTCTCAGAATCTCACAGAAAATTCCATCGCGCTACTCTTGTCTGTGCGGATGCATCCTTGGAGTTGTAGCGATCGATCTCTTGACGCACATATGGATTGCTGCCATGCGTTTCGTCGAGCTCCTCAGCTTCATCAGCCACTGTTTCGGTGATCTATCACATACCAGCGGGCAGGTCTGCATGATGATTTTGCGGGGCAGATGTTTTGATCTGTGCTGTCTTGTTTTCGGTGGCATTTTGCGTCAGGCCCAGCCGTCAATGCCAAAGTATGCAAAAGAGACGCTGATCTCAAATGGCCAAGCTGCTTGCATCACGTCTCTGGTCAAGACGGTCAGTGTCTGCTCCCCCTCCTCTTCCAAAAGCTGGCTAAGCTGGGGAAGCAGCAACCCAGATTGCCCTCCAGCAAATTCTAGCAGTTTCGTCCTGCACTTCGCTGACCCATGGAGGTAGCTGACAGCTTTCGTCTTCTGGGATGCACTTCCTGCACCAACAAAGCAAGGCATGGCAATCCACTCAGAAAAACACATTTGAAACAAAAGAAGAGAGCGAGCACTTTGCATTGTTCGGCCAAAGAGCGCGTGCCCCGTTGCTGCCAGATTCAACAGGCCATGGAACCGCCAGATGCCATCCTGCCAGGATTGACTGTGACCTTTGACCAACGCAGAGTTTTATTTGCCAGGCATCCTCGCGAGTCAGCATCTGACGGGCCGCGCCGGCGTCCAGGAACCTCATCTGCGAATCGTCTTTGCCGTGGGGTTTTGTTAAGCCACTCCGTTAATTCGATTGCACAGGCAAATAATTGCCAGGCAGCAGATACAGCGCTACTGCCTCGCGGCAGGCAGTGCAAAGTTTCAAAAACCTCCATGCATGAAGTCATGAATCGACTGGAGAGCCTGCGTCTCCGTCAACTGCTGTACAGGCCCTGCTTGCATGGGCGCCTGCATCCAAGGATAAGACGATCAAAGCGACGGCTAGGTGCATTCGGTTCGACAAGCCAGTGTCTGCGGACCCGCGTGTTTCAACCAACACCCAAGACACCAAAGTCGGCCTGCCGCGTTGGACTGAGTGGTGTTGAGGACAATGGTACTTTGGTTGGCGGTCGCATGGCGGTTGGAGAGGGATAGCCTCCACCTTGACTGCATTTGACAACAAATCCCCAAAGACTAGCTGGCCACTCGTCCCGCAAAATTGCTTCTTGCCTCGGTCGGCTCCTACTGGCGAAGTGCTCAAGACTGGCGATGTCACGGGCTGCTTTGGCCTGAGGAATGGAAACGTGCGCTGGTCTTGAAAGAAGACGGAGAGATGTTGAAAAGCCGCCACGGAGCCCTGGCGCCGTCACTGCCGCGCCCAGCGGCGCCGGCCGAGACTTGGGCACTGCAGGGCCAGGGCCAGACCCTGGGCGCCTGCAAGCTGCAGTGGGATACATGAAACGCTTGGAGCCTGATCAAGACAGGACGACTTTCCAAAGTGTGAGCTAGAAAGCACTCTGCTCGCCCCGGCCTGTCAAACTCCTGCGCATCTCCCTTGAGAGCAGCTAGGAGCACCGAGCCCCCATCATCCGCAGCTGATGCAGCTGCGTAGCCCTTACGCAGCTGGGCATGCAACTAGATAACCCGCAAAAACAAGTGCATGGCCTCAATACTCACCTGAAAACCTTCAACGTGCCTGAAAGTCCTCACCTGAAGGCCCACCCTACTCCACAGGTTCCCATGCTGTCACTCAACCAAGAGGACCCTCTGGACCCGTAATTTCAGAAATTTTGGTCCACTGAAACTGAAGCTTCTGAAGAGACAATATCACACCTTTGGTGAGCTTGCTCATGCTGTGTGCTTCTCAAGTTACGCATGAGTTTGGAGATTCTTTCAATGCAGTTTCCACATTTTCATGGCGGCGCACACGGGGGACGCCGGCTTTTTGAAGGATCCGTTAACACAGTCTCTCTGAAGTCGAGCGGCTTGAGACATTCAGCTTTTCAGCTTCCACGAGGTACACATCAACGTGAAGGCAGGCTTCTACTGTAATCCTCCCGAATCCTATGCCGCAATGACACTTCCTCTGTAATTCAAACATGAAGAAATGCTATTGCCACCAGGGAAAGTGATGAGCGAAGACCTAGAACATGCGCCAAGGAACAGGTGCCCAGTTGCCATCCTCGTCCCAGCCGTGTTCATGACTATCATACTGGTTCCTGCGCAGGGTCTGGGGCTCGAGATTCAGAGCTAGGGGCGTCGAGACTAGCTTGCAACTTGGTAAATTCCACCCGTGTTGACCAGGCTATGGTGTCAGTCCTGAAAGAGGCATGTAGACAAATGGTGGGAGCAGCATCTCCCATAGGCGGCCAGTTGTCCCGAGACCTTGACAGAACCCACGCTGACTTACCCAGACAGATCCAGCTTGCGCTCATGGCCAATTCGCAAATTCCAAGCCCTCAGGTCTCAGCTCTGCTGTTGTCCATGTTAGGTCGGGCCGATGAAGCCTGAAATGCACGCCCGCAGCGTACAATTTGCTGATCATCAAGTCTTCCCAATCATCTTTGACAGCTGGGTCTGGGCCTGTGATCGACCAATCGCCAGTCTATGCAGTTGTGTTCGAGACGCAACCAGATTGGCGAGAAACCTAAGCCATGCCAAGTGCCACAAACGGATTCAGCTGTGCAGTCTTGACCGGCCTCGCGCATCCCGCCGGCCCGTGTTTTCAGCAGCGTAGGGATACTTCCGGCTCCAGACCTGAGACCGTGTTGAGACGTCATCGCATTGCCATCAACATTGCAACGTATGCAACGGGCAGTGCAGCTCAGGACCCAACAATGAGTTCCAAAAGAGCTGCAGCACCTGTCAGTGGCCAAGCAAAGATCGTCTTTCACCACCTGTTCTTCTCCGAGCTTGCCTTCTTCAGAGATGCTGTTGTGGCTCAGGTGCACTTCGTGCACAGCCTGGGAGCTGTGAGCCATGAATTGGCCCACAGCCCATGCGCCGGAGTCCGTAATGTTGTTCCTGGCCCAGGGTGCAAGCACTCCCAAGTTGCGAGTTGAATCGTTGCTTCGCTGCTGTGCCGAGAGCTTGTTGCGCAGATGTTGCGAAGGAACAGGCTCGCAGGCAAATGACATTTCTGTTCGAAGATTGTTTGTCCTTATTTGAACCCGCAATCTCTCGATCCGATCTGGGGAAACAATCCGACGCATTCTAGTGAATGAGCAAAGGAGCACAACTTGAAAGGACGAGAGAGCGCGGCTGCATCCATTTTTTGTGTTACATTCTTTGGCCCCAACCTACAACGATCATACGGTAAGAGTGTTTATTTTTTTGTTGTCTGGTCTTTTTTGTTGTCTGGGCTTCTCGGGTGTTCTTTTTTTTGCTGTTT